TCACACACACACACACACACACACACACACACACACACACACATATATATATATATATATATACATATACATACAGTATATTAGTAGTTCTTAATATTCTCAATACATCATTGGACACCATTTAAATATCTCTCTGAGTTCCTCTGACATTTAAATTTTCTGTGCACTTTTGTGATTTTAGACAGCAACATGTATAGGAGACTTTTATTTTGGTCTGGTGATGTGACTTCATAAGGCTGCGCCACGCTCCTGCATCTGTTGTGATTCGGCTGAAGAGAGGTTTGTGTTTTTACGTATTTAAAGTGTTTAAATCAATGCATCCAGGGGGCTGTTTCATAAAACAAGTTTACCAAATAACCCAGGCTTATTTCAGTTAGGCTGACTTATTTTCACTTGATTTGGTTTCATAAATAGGGCTGCCAACTTCAGAAAATGAAAATAAGGGACAACTGTGATTCTTTATAGGAAAATAAGGGACGCTCAAAATATTTGTTCTGTACCACATAGAATATGTAATTTCCGTGTCTACAGTTAAGTATGTGTATAAAAGTTTCTCAGAAATAATCACATTTGTTTTGCTTAACCTATGTACAATTATTCTAAAAATAAAGTTTAATGGCATACAAAAAATGTCACGTATGTAATACACATAGCATCGGCCTGAGTACATTTTACCACTATAGAATTGTGATTGCACAAGTGGTGTAGTAAATTAGGAGGTGAATATACTGTGAAATTACATACAATATGGCATCAAATTTGAAAGTATAACTGAATGTCTATGAAACTTCAATCAATAAAGCATTTTTTTTAAAACAATGACATTTAAAATGTTGAACTAAAATGTTATTGCAACCATGTAGCCTAATTCATGAAAATGAATATTTTTCAATTAAAGAGAGCTTGGGGGGTGTGGGCTGCTTTTGGTGCTTGAATTTGTTCTTCAGTATTAATGAGGTCCAGGTTTAGGAATATGCTAGAAGTTACTATTTTAAAAATGTGTAATTTTGTTTCTCTATTTAACAACATTAACTTACAATACTGAAAGATGTCTTCCCTCAGGTAGATTGCATGTTTTCTTGCCTAGCTGGATATTGTGCTTCTGATCAATAATCATGTTCTTTGCATTCACCCAAACTGATTTGGCGAAATCAAAACGCGGATGGTGAAGGGGATCGCCGTTAGCGCGAGCCCCACTCACTGAGAAGCGGGATCGACCAGGTGGCAGAGGATTCTGCAAGGTCTTAAAGCCTTCCTTGAGTGGCTACGTTTGCAATTCAAACAATGATTTATGCAAAAATAATGATTAATTTGTTATTTGTATGGTCGATGGTCATACGGCGTATGCCTGCGAATACGGGACAAACTGCGTTCCGTATAGCTTTGATACGGAACGCTTCTCTGATGCCTTAAATACGGGACAATTCCGTATTATACGGAACGGTTGGCAACCCTATTCATAAAGCAAATTTACCATAGCTCAAGCTCAGTCACTCTGGCAACTTATGCTTGGAAACTAACCTGGTCCGGGGCAGGCTAACTGTCAGGTTAAACTGAGCTCCTCTAACACTGACCAATAGGAATGCAATGATATCACCGCTGACTCTGGCTGCATTTACACTGCAAGTCTTAATGCACAGATCCGATCTTTTGACCATATCCGATTTTTTGGCACGTCTGTTTACATTCACTTTAGACTGGTATCCGATATCTGTGTTTACATTAATTCCCACCCAAAAGGATTGTCTGCAGTGATCGCTTTACTATGCACATGGTAGACCCTCGGGTTTTAAATGGCCGTGCTATTAAAATTATTTATATAAATCACGTCGAATGGCCATTATTATTTGCCAGCATGGACAACGGCTGTCATGGATGTTTTGCAGCACAAAATCTGACTGAACGGATAAAGACCGGAAAATAACGGTAATTTTAATTTGTTAGACTATTTTATCTACAGCTCGTTAGAGGTAGAATTCTTTAGTGAAATAAAGATGATATTTATTTAAATTAATTTGAGAGAGAGAGAGAACGAACGAATGCATGCACCCACGTGCGAGCGAGCTATTGTGAAGCATTGCAAACAAGCTTGTCGGTTTAATTACAAAAACTGCTAAGTTATCACCTCATTGCTGAGAAATATATATAGCTTTTAGCTGTTGTATTTTCAAAATTCACGGGGCGGGGGTTGAAAACAAGCTCCTGAATGTGCAATTTCTTACTTGTTAAAAGTTTCCATCTCAATAAAATGCGAGCATATACAGCACGCCGGCATTAAAAATCTTTATGAGCAAATGTGTTGCCCTCGCATTGGGAGTTCTGTGGAGAATCGGATATGTGTGTTTAGATGTAGGTCGGATGTCCAGATATCAGATGTGTATCCGATTAAAATCCACATTTGGAAGTGGCTCAGATCAGATGCAAAAAAATCGGATCTCGTGCGGGTTTTTGTGTTTACACGTGTGCAACAAATTCCGATCCGACGCAAGATCGGATTTGTTGTGCCAGTGTAAACGCAGCCTCTCTCACATACAATTATTTGACTTTATTACCAATCCAAAAATAAAAGTATACAGAAAAAGCAACTTAAAAATATAGGCTACAACCAACTGTATTTAATGTATTGTATGCCCAAGATTTAATGACATTTTCTAAGATATATGAAAACATTTTATCATGCTGCTACATGCGCATTCAGTTGATCAGCAGTTTCTAGCCATGGATATTAGTAGAACATTAAAACATTGCAATATAAAATTGCTCTTTAAAGCATTAAAACACTAAATTAAAAGTTAAAATCACTCAATTAAAAATGAAAATAAATAATAGAAAACAGACTATATTAAACTGCTAAGAGGAATACACATTAACTCATTTGAGCTAGTATTAGCTAGCTTATATTTGATTTAGTTACTGCTATCATAAAAATACACTTATATGTAGAATTAAAATTCTACATGCGTTACATTTAATGTCCAACAACAAATATTTTAGCGGAATCTATATTTTATTAAGAATTATTGCGCTATTATTCTATTCTGCTCCGTCTGTGTAGCGCGCATGCGCGCAGCAGCACTCGTTCACTCACGTAAGCCTCGCCCACTCCTGACAGCAAAATGGATATATTTGCATGACTTTCTAACATTTACAGATGAAAAATATACCTGTGACGTGTCAGTTATGCACTGAGGAAAACACAATATCTCAAATGCATTAAACAGCACAAATATTCGCTGTTTGCCATGGTGGATCGATTTGATCCATGATCGACATTAAGATCTGCTTAAGAATAAGCGTGCACATCAAATTATCCTGATTCATTGAACCTGGATCGAATTAGTGAGATTGCGTAAACTTAAATTGTCGTTTATGAAACCACTTTAGTCCCGATTGATTTGTTAGGTTATTTCAAGTCAGGTTTTGGACTTTAATCCCCGCTTTTCTTAGCGTCTTTTATGAAACAGCCCCCAGTTCAGATAATTTTATAGTTTTTACAAGCGATGTAAAATGGCTTGATTATTGTCGATTGAAACATTGTAATACTTTATGTAACATTAATAAATGTTAAGTTGAGTTAAGCGTATCCGCACATGAAAAGGTACGTCTCATTTCGCTCCCTATCAGTTTATCAGACGAATTCGGTCACTAGCCGGGTTTCCATCCAAAGTTGCGAATTTAACATAAAAATTGGAATATCGCATAAAACATTTAACTGATTCTTGAGAAGTTAGACAAAACAGGGTGCAATATTGAAAAAATAAAACCTTATACTCAGACAAATTAAACTACATTTATGTGTCTTACATCTACTGAGCTATGCTTTGATACAACCTCCCAATTTTTCTCTTTTTTATCAAAATGTGCTTTTTACCATCACTAACATTGTCAACACCATCAGACACCAAAAACTAATTAATTTTCACTCACATTATGCAAGACCTATAAAAAGTATAGTAAACACTAGTTTTTACCAAGGCAGACCGAGACCACAAAAAAAATAAATACTTTCAATATGTATAAATATATTTATTATAAAGATTTGCGTCTGTGTTTCTTTAATTGGAATGTGTAATGTAACTTTAACTTTGTCTTTAACAGCAATCAAGATGTTTTTTAACATTTCAAAACACATTCCCATGTTAGCAGACAGATTACATGATCACATATGACCAACAATTCCTCAACAAATATATATCATAATGAAATATCCTCAAAATATTGATCTGACGGAGGTGACAGAGACCTGACAGAGTTGACACAAATGACAGTGGTGACGAAAACTTGAATTTTTAACTATCAAATACATTGAATCAATCAATTACTGTATTAAAACAAACAGTGAGTATGTTATTGTTATTGTATGTTTATTATGTTATTCTTTGCTCTCTTGATTCTCACTGGCTATGCTTCCATTTCTTTCTCTGTTTCCTCTGTTCTCTCTTACTAAAGTCCTTGATTTGCTTTATTTTTCCTCCCTCAACTCTCTGTTTCCACCTTTGTCTCTCCTGTCTTAGAAATTCCTCCTTTAATTCTGGCTGTGCACTGATTTTCTCTCCTCGCTTTTTCTGATACTCTCTGTTCCTTCGTCTACGCTCCTCCAATGAGAGATGTTGTCTAGCCATGCTGGACTAAAAACACACAAAAAGAGCACAAGAATATCTTTATCATATTTGCCTATGCAATGTTCCTTATTATGTTCCATAAGCCCTGTGTTCCCTCAGCCTTATGTTCCCTCACCACTAACTCTGCTAGAAGTGATGACTATCAATCCACATAAACAATATATGCTGTCAGGTCACATATTTAGTATTTATACATAATTAGAAAGACTAAACGAAATAAAAATAAAATAAAACTATTTTATATTTAATATAATTAAAAATGACTTCAAAACCACAAAAATATGATGATTTCATGTTGAATGTCAACTCCGTCATTGGCTTGTCACCACCGTCAGACAGAAAATCTTATGATGTTGACATCTGACGGTGTTGACACATTAGGCATTTCTTTCACAAAACAAATGGAGTTCATGTAGTAGCCATTTTGTTTTCTCTGTTGATGCTAGATGCTAATAGAGCATCAGCTTCAGGAGAAGCAGGTTGTATAAAATGATCAAAAAATTTCAAATAACTCCCTCAGAAATTGGAAGAGGGTGTTGACACATCATGGTTGTGACACAGGAAATATTAACATTAGGATTTAAAATACTTAAAAATTATTAAACATACCAGAGCCTGTCTGACAGTGATGTACTCTGCAGATGTGGAATGTGGCAAGCGGGTCCTTCGGAAGTGACAGCTGCCCCTGATATTCCCTGATTTTATTACATTTTAATAAATGTCTGACAGTGTTGACAAAAAGTGGGGACACAACTTTGAAATCTTATAAAACACGCATACTGAAAAACAACCTTGCTCTGATATGAGAGATTATTATGTGTTGCTTTTGATAAAACAAGCTATTTCATCATAAAAAAAATTGTTATCCATTTTATTGCATATGAATGATTGAACCATTCTCTGTGGACACACTGTTTTAGATGTAGTGAGAAGACAATAAGTGTCATAGATTTTATATAATAATGATAAAATTTAATTGAAGGGGATAATTGTGTTAAATACATTCTATTATTAATTCCTCATAACATTTACAATTTAAAATATTTAAATTTTTAAACCTAATAGCAGTTAAAATTGCTGGACGTGTTTTGTCCCATGTCTCAAGAATCAGTGATTTGCAAATAAGCACCGTTTCCATCCAATGAGTCAAAGAGAACAAAATCGTCACTTCCTGATAAGCTGGCACTAAATATCATTAAGAAAAGTAGAAGAAGCCACCAAATATAATAATTTTCATACATAATAAATTACTTGTGCCTCAGAGCAAGCAGACGAAACACAATGCGGTCATTGCTTTCAGAGATGGATCTCTGCTGCTTGGGAACACAGTCATGAAAGTTCTGGAAGGCAATTATACAGAAAGACTCTGACGATAGACTTTGCCCAGGCATTTAGAAATGACTATTACAACATTTCAGATGCTGTGTTTCAAGATCGGTCCGCTGGTTAGTCAGGTTATGCCGTTCCATAGCGCAAAGTCACATGACTTTTTGATGCACATGGTGGAATTTATTCGCAAAATACGTTTCCATCTCCCATTCGCACAAGTCAAAAACCACCTCAAGCGAGCATTGAAACATTTTTTTACGAATTAAGGGATTTCTTTTCTAAATTTGGCATTTCTGATGCGATACTTCAAATGCGCATAATTTTTTTTTTGTGTGTCGCAAAACGATTCAGTGATTCGAAGTGCAAATGCAACAAACACAACAGATGAATAACAATAATAATAAATGTAAAACATATGCCTAAATATTAAATGCCTGTGTAATTTGTCTCCTTTTATTCATTTGTATAATCAGTACTAGTTTTGAGTGATTTTTTTTTTCCTTAAACAGGACAAAGTGTCCAAACACAGAGAAACTCCTGGTGAAGCAACTGAGATCCACGTGACTCTGTTATAAAGATGGCGTTTATTAAAGAGGAGAGTGAAGATGTGAGGATTGTAGAAATATTCAGCATGAAACAAGAAGATACTGAGACACAAACAGGTTGGTTTTCATTCTCAAAGCTTATTAAAATGTCTAGCTCTACAGAATTAAATGATATTTTTGAAGAATGTCATATCTGCCGTGCAAAGGCAAAAGGTCGTAACTTCGTTTTGGTCGAAAATTAGTTATTGATATTTTTGGGACATTCAAGACCTCCTTTATCATGTGGATAAGTATCTTAAGTAGGGCTGTGTATCTAGTTTGATACTTTTTAGGCACCGACCGAATATATACTATAAATACTATCGTGTATCGAAACATGTCTTGTCATTCGGTAACAAATTTTGATACCTAAAGGGGTTAATCTCGTCAATGTCGGTGAGCCAGTAAGCATGCAGCATGCGTGATGTGCCTAAATCATGTGCTGGTGATTGGCTCTGGTGAGGCATCAAGAAAAACGCGCGTTACATGACCATTAATGCTCACTGTAGCATCATGCTACATAAGACAATTTATCAAATTTATACTATGCTTTCACACAAAAAAATAACTTTAAACCACCATCGAGTGTTTGTAATAACTTCCGATTGCAGTCTAATGAGGGTTTTGGTCATGTAATGTTGCAGAAAGATGCTATTTGTAGTCTTTTATATCAAGCTAATCGCTACACCTGCTTAGCATTTCTCATGTAAACACGCTGTATTGTTATACAAATAGGCAGAATCTCAAGAAAATCACATACAAATCATATACTGTCATAATCGCATGTTTCTTAGCTTCATGTTTCATCCCTGTAAATGTTTTTCTGAAAGTGTAACACATGTTCGTCATCGGAGACAGGGCGGGTTATGAACGCATAATATGATTGACATGAGCAGCGAATGAGCTTCCTCTGAGTCAGAACAGCGATCGCGGAAGAGAAAACACTGACAGACAGCGCTGGAAGCAGCTAATGCTTATCAGATCATGTAAATCAGTGAAAAGTGAATAGAAATGATTCTGTCTAAGCTATAAGTTTTAAAACAAAAATGCACTAGTGTAAATGTAGCCTAGGGACATTAGTTCTGAGGACATCATCAGTGAAGAGAGGGCTTGTCTGTCTCCTGAAAAACCGGACATGCTAATTTTTTTGAAGAACTGCTGAGTGATTTAAAGATCTTAAGCATGCAGTAGTGATCCTCACATATGGACTCAAAACTGTAAATTTTTCATTTTATTAAAACTATTTGCACTGATTTATTGTGTTGGTTACATTTTGTTCCTATGTGCAGTGGCACAGGAGATTAGTCTGTGTCTGTAAAAACCTCAACATACTGGGAAAAAAAAAAGGTTTTATGAGGTAATGTATTCTGGATTTCATAAAATTGGTATCGAAAAAAGTATAATTCAGGAACCGGTATCGAAGTCAAGGTATTGATATCGAAATTTTTGAACGATACCCAGCCCTAATCTTGAGTAAATTTCATTGTTTTTTTTACCTCTCAAAAATAATGGGTTGTCTTAACCGTAACTTCCAAAAGCCCAGGAGAAACCAAAGCAGAACACCATATAACACCAGTTACCCAACCCTTTACATTGTGAGTAAATCACTCGCATATGCGACTAAATCTTCACTCTGGGCGACTAAATGATGTCTATGTTCCTGTAGTGGGCGGAACTAATGCGCAAACGACAATCTCATTGGCTGGTGCTCACCTATTATTGTCCCTGTTTTGATTTCAGCAAATCAGTTCGAGCGAACGCACACAACCTGATTAATATTCATGAATCCAGTAGCTCATTAATCCTTAGTGCGTTTTTATATTGTTCTTATTAGTAGAATTCGTATAATAATAATATCTTATCAGTATTGTTCTTTTTTTTTTTTTACAGGAACACTAAATGACCAAAAAAAGCACCAGCACCAGTCCTAAGTTCATGGTTACCAAGTTTTAATTCTAATGACTAAACTTCTATTATTAAATAATACTTGATTATCATATTATAATGCTCAGTTGGATTTTTGTCCCAACTCATGATTTAGGAGAGGACACCAAACTTCACTGCCATATTGTGCAATTGGTTGTACAGCTGCTTGGAATATTTTGAGCCAGATTATAATTATTGATTATTAATTGAATTATTAATTAATGAATGGCGATTCAATTGCCAAGGTGTCCGTAGAGGGTTGTTACCGCTCTTTGACTTTGTTTTGGAATGCTAAAATTGAGTTACGGTACTCTGCCTTTGTTTAGCCGTGAGTCAATATGAAGTTACTGTGTCGGCCTGGAGTTATAAGGTTTTCTGCCTTTGTTTTACTGTCCATTAAAGTCTGCAGAGTTTAAATTACTGTGTAACGTGTCTTGTCACTGAAGCACTTCATTAGACAAACGAATTAGGTAGATCACAATCTGACTGCTCCATATAAGCTCCATAAGACTAGATAACCTGGCAACAATAAGTAATTGTAAATAATTGTTAGTCTTTTTTTTATGCTGATTGTGAACTTGAATGCTGTGACAGCATAGCATGATCACACATAAAATCTGTAGTAACAGTTCGCAGTTAAATCCATATCCTACCTTTTCTTGTAACCTGATAAAATCCATGGCAATGAATGTCATCAGAGATGTTTAATCCACAAGCATTTGTATCATTATTGCTACTTGTTGGTATTCACATCAATCCACAAGTCGTCCTTTTAGGTTAGGCTTTTTTCATTCAGTTTGATGTCTTACATCCTTTTACATTAGTGAACATTGCAAATAAATTGGATGTAAAATCCAAAAAGTATCCACTCACATGTTTAACTTTTTGTCTGGTTGTTACAGTTAGAAAAACAATCAATACAGTCATATTACTATATGTTATAGCCTATGAGATAGCCCATGATCACTAGATTTTTATGCAGGTGTTACTATAATAATTTTGTAAATGGTGATCCGCAATCAAATACTCATAATGTGGAAGTTTCTGCCTTTTGCCTTGGTGTGACTTCTCACTTTTTGCAGACAATGCAAAGGCAGAGTACAGTAACTTAAAAATAGGGGTGAAAATCAAGTTTGAGCTTGTAGCACGGCCACATAAGAGGGATATATTTATAAAGCTGTTGATTAAATACTAATTTGATTGTTGATGTGGCACAGCTGGTATTGATGTATCTTTGTTTGTATTGCCCCATCGAGTGTGGTGGACCCTGTTTCTTCTCGCGAGAGATCGCTCGCGACGCGCCAGGGAATCCCCGTGACGTCACATCGACCAGATGATTTTTCGTCCGATAAAAGAAGCCGGTTAGCGGTGTTCATTAGCTACGCTCAATGTGCTCACTTGGATACACAACGATCGATCGTCTCCTACATGCTGCTGTTATGTGCTGTGAACTTTGTGGAATTCTCAGTGTGGAATGGTCAAGGAGGTGAAGGCGGTCTTAGACACGGGAAGCACTTACACCCTGATGCAGGAGAGCCTGTGGAAACAGCTAAAGACTAAGAGTCCACCAGTCATTACCTCGGCCCCGCAGAGGTTCATAATGGCAGATGGAACGATTCACCAATCCAGAGACCTGCAAAACACGTCTGATAAAAGAAGCCTGTTAGCGGCGTTCATGAGCTACCCTCGATGTGCTCACTTGGATACACAACGATCGATCGTCTCCTACATGCTGCTATGTGCTGTGAACTTTGTGGAATTCTCAGCGTGGAATGGTCAAGTTTGTTGGACTATTTGAGTTGGATTTCCTCACAGGACAGCGCTCTTCCTCAACGTGCTCCCGGACTCTCTATACAAGTTCACCGGTGAGGCCGAACTGAACACACACACACACCCTGACACACACATACTATTGGACTTTCAAGGACAGTACGCACACATACTCATACATTGATTGTATATATTGTATATATCGTTTTTTTGTCTTCTTGTGAAATACACTCTGGGTTGGCATTTATTATTTTTGGTAGTTATTTTTTGTACCTGCATTCCTTCAACCCCACTATTAAGAGGTAAACAGAACAACTTCTATTTGTGTAGCCTGCCTTATTTAGGCTGAGCGTTACAAGCTCAAGATTTTTTTAATGTAGATAATTTTCATTACTAAAACATCTAATTAACACCTAATCTAACACATAATTGCCAGATTTCCAGTGTCTTACCTATAGCCTTAATAATTTGGCTGGACAAACTGTCATTTTTCTCAGTTCCACACTCTAGTGAGTTAAGGGTTTTTGCCTTGTAGGGCAGATATGAGCGTCCTAATTAAAGTGGTGTTATTTGACATGGAGCGGGTTCTCATGTTGAGATCACATGACCAGACAAATACTACAAATGTGTGTATAGAAAAGAATCACCCCCCTTTAAAATGATCACATTTTGTTGCTTTGCAACCTGAAATGAAGACAGACACAGTTTTTGTTTTATCTAGCTGTATTCATTTGGTGCAACTTATAACATCCAAGTGAAAGATATAACACCAACATGTCAGAAAAAATAAATATAAAACCAGAATCACTGAGTTGGAAAAAGGATCCCCCCTAACATTGTGAACTCTAATGATAATTTCCCTCAGGGTCAGCATGTTCTAGGAGAAAAGCAGAGGACCTAATACTGAGCCCTGATGTACTCCATACTTGTGTTTGATGAAATGTATTAGCAGTTGGATAGATTTAAGACCTAAACTGTGCTAATGCTTATCGACAAATGACAACATAATTCTCAAGCTATCCAAAACAATGTTGTGATATGTCAAAAGAGCTAATAGCACTAGAAGTAATCATGATACAATGCCAAAAGCATAACTTTAATAAATGATAGTGCTTAAATTCTGACTGAAATTGTTCACAAGTACCATAGCATAGTGAAGAGGACTCTACTTTTCTGATATTTTAAACATGAATGGCAGATTCTGGACTGGTCTAGAACAGTGGTTTTCAATCCTGGTCCTGGGGACACACCGCTCTGCACATTTGGTATGTCTCCCTTATGCTGGGGACACCACAAGATAATCGGGCTGATTTTGGGCCGATTTCTCCACTTCCGACAATCCTAGGTAATGTCCCGATTATCTTGGTGGTTCTAAAGATTATCTTATCACATTTTCCTGTGGTGTGAGGTGTGTTAAGAGTGACTGAATCTCGATGATGATATTTTTACAAGAAGTTCTTATAACTTGTAGAAATACTCCCCACGAACAGCACGTGACTTGTGCACGAAAAAGGAACCACACAGGGCGTGGCTAAGCCCCGCAGCCACTATCTGATTGGAACAACGACCTGTGGGATGTAACGAACAAAATCTCCTATCTGCTGAACTGACGCTGATGATTGACTTAAGCAGTAAACGTAAGACAAATCTCTGCTTTATGAATTCTCTCAGGCTGAATTTAAAACCACTCGTGAAAACGAGTTAGAACTTTGGGAACTTCTCAGAACTCCGTTAACATCATTTTCATTCTTCAGAGACCGTATGTATGTGTGTGTGTATGTGTATGTCTTAGCTTAGGTCAATGTAATTTAGAATAGCCAATAAATTCATGTTTCATTTATAAAGAATCATTGTCTGGTGTCGTATAATTTTAAAGTCAAACCTTGCCAAGATCTTGCTACCTAGCTCGTAGCGTATAACTTGTCAAAGAACGTATTAACCCGTGGCCAGGGAAAATACATATAGTCAAATTGTTAATATACACTGACATTAACGTCTCGCTGGACGAGTAGCTGATAAAGTGTAAAATATCAAATTTGAAATCAGTTTTAATCAGGTTGACCTCGAATTTTCAGATTCGATTCCTCTCAAAACCTGAGCTAGAAATAAAATGAATGATTAATTCCCTTATAAGAATTAATGAGTTAAATTCCTTACATAAGAGTGACTGAATCTGCTCGGAAGAATGTCGGAGGCGTCCCGATCGCGAATCGTAAATATTCAACATGTTGAATATTTACGATCAGAAATCCTGATGTGTGTGGGGAACATCGCGGCACACCACACACTATAGGAGCAAAACAGTTAAATCTAGGATTTTTTTGTCCTCATGTTTGTGGTCTCTCACATTTTGAAAATCTTATAAGATTTTAAAAATCTTTTAGTGTGTACCAAGCATTATCTGTTGCACTCAGCTGAGTTTGTGGAGCTCTCACCTAATGAGCTGGTGATGTGAATCAGGTGTGGCAAATAAGGAATACATACAAAATGATCAGAGCGGTGGGACCTTAGGACCAGGAGTAAAGACTACTGGTCTATAAAAACCCAGTTTTGTTGCATAATGTTGGTTTTGATGTTTTAATACTTTTATCTTGGTGTTGATGTCTGTTGCTTTGAGTCATTAAACTGCCATTAACTTGTATTTGTCTTTTTTTGCTTTAGACCTGATTGCACTGAAAGAAGAGAGTCAAGAACTGAAAAAGATAGAAGAGAAAGATCAATATGAGAGACATGATTTCATGACTATGGAAAAATGCATACAGACTGAAACAACTTCATCACGAAAAAAAGTTCAGAAGACCGAATCTAACAATAACTTTACCTGCCATCAATGTGGAAAGAGTTTCAATCAAAAACATAACCTTAAAAACCACATGAAGACTCACACTGGAGAGAAGCCTTTCACATGCCAAGAGTGTGGAAAGTGTTTCACTCACACAGGAAACCTTAATTCCCACATGAAAAGTCACACTGGAGAGAAACCTTATACCTGCCAACCTTTGTGAATATAAAATTCATCTTTAAAACTTTGCAGATTTTTGTTCACAAATTAAAATTAAATGTCATTATTATTATTATTAAATCAGTTGATTCTAATTGTAAAGTTAATAAATTATGAAACTCAATAAAATAGTGTCATTATCCAGCTCAGTTCAGTTCAATCTTTTGTTCTTATCTGACGGTGTCAGTGCAGCCTAATTGATCATTTCTGAATATTACCTGTTTTTAAACCACAACTTGAGCCAAAGGTGTCAATGGCAAGGAACACAATCTCAGGTGACAGTACTGGAGAAAAAACCTTAAGAGAAACCAGGCTCAGTTGGATTTTGAAAATCTTATAAGATTTTAAAAATCTTTTAGTGTGTACCAAGCATTATCTGTTGCACTCAGCTGAGTTTGTGGAGCTCTCACCTAATGAGCTGGTGATGTGAATCAGGTGTGGCAAATAAGGAATACATACAAAATGATCAGAGCGGTGGGACCTTAGGACCAGGAGTAAAGACTACTGGTCTATAAAAACCCAGTTTTGTTGCATAATGTTGGTTTTGATGTTTTAATACTTTTATCTTGGTGTTGATGTCTGTTGCTTTGAGTCATTAAACTGCCATTAACTTGTATTTGTCTTTTTTTGCTTTAGACCTGATTGCACTGAAAGAAGAGAGTCAAGAACTGAAAAAGATAGAAGAGAAAGATCAATATGAGAGACATGATTTCATGACTATGGAAAAATGCATACAGACTGAAACAACTTCATCACGAAAAAAAGTTCAGAAGACCGAATCTAACAATAACTTTACCTGCCATCAATGTGGAAAGAGTTTCAATCAAAAACATAACCTTAAAAACCACATGAAGACTCACACTGGAGAGAAGCCTTTCACATGCCAAGAGTGTGGAAAGTGTTTCACTCACACAGGAAACCTTAATTCCCACATGAAAAGTCACACTGGAGAGAAACCTTATACCTGCCAACAGTGTGGAAAGAGTTTTACATATAAAAAAGACCTTAATTCCCACATGAACGGTCACACTGGAGAGAAGCCTTTCACATGTGATCAGTGTGGAAAGAGTTTCCGACATAAAGTAACTCTTAATTCCCACACAAAGAGAGAGCACTCAGGAGAGAAAGGTTTTAAATGTCATCAGTGTGGAGGGAGTTTCAGTTGTAAAGGAAGCCTCAAAACTCATGAGAGACGTCACACTGCAGAGAAGCCTTTTACCTGCAAACAGTGTGGGAAGAGCTTCTCATATAAAGCACACCTTGATTCCCACATGAGAAGTCATACTGGAGAGAAGCCTTTTACCTGCAAACTGTGTGGAAATAGCTTCTCACACAAAGGAAATCTTAAGTCACACATGAGAATTCACACTGGAGAGAAACCATTTCCATGTGATCAGTGTGGAAAAAGTTTCAGACATAAAGCAACCCTTGATTCACACATGAAAAGTCACACTGGAGAGAGTTCTTACACCTGCAAACTGTGTGAAAAGAGCTTCTCATATAAAGCAACATTTAATGCCCACATGAGAAGTCACACAGGAGAGAGGCCTTTTACCTGCAAACTATGTGAGAAGAGCTTCTCAATAAAAGGAAATCTTACGGCTCACATGAAAACACACACAGGAGAGAAGCCATTCATGTGTGCTCAGTGTGGAAAGAGTTTTACACGTGAAAAAAACCTTACTTGCCACATGAGGCTTCATTCAAGAGAAGACAGTTTTAATTGTCATCAGTGTGGAAAGAGATTCCCAGACAAGAGACACCTTAACTGGCATTTAAAAATTCACTCCCGAGAGACGTCTTTCAAATGCAATGACTGTGGAAAGAGTTTCAGATTTAAAGGAAACCTTAAGACTCACATGAGAATTCACACTGGAGAGAAACCTTTCACCTGCACTCACTGTAGAAAGAGTTTCAGTCAGAACATAACACTTCAGATTCACACGAGGCTTCACACTGGAGAAAAACCTTTCACGTGTCTTCAGTGTAAGAAGAGTTTCACATATAAAAGAGACCTGAAACGTCATTTGCAAACACATTCTGGAAAGAAATTGCACAGCTCTGCGAGTGAAAAAAGAAAAAGGAGCAATTTAAAAAATCCACTACGTACAAGACAATTTAATTTTGATCAGTGTAACAAAAAAATTATTTTGCCATCACACTTAAAGATACACCTAAAAAGTCATACAGATGTGAGACCATATTTGTGTTTTTTATGTGGAAAGCGCTTTAAATGGCTCGGCAGTCTAAAATGGCACCAAAAAATATGTATCTGCGTGAAATTAAAGCTACGTTCACACCGTAGCTGAATATGGCCCAAATCTGATTGTCCACCTTCATGACCATTTGCATGCTTCACCTCTGTATAATTTTGACCTTTTTGTCTTTTTATTTTTTGTCTTGTACATGTGAAATCTTGTGGCTGTACCTGAGTATCTGCTTTGCTATAGATCAGTTGTTCTAACTTTTTTTGTCCTTTGTGAATATAAAATTAATCTTTAAAACTTTGCAGATTTTTGTGTTCACAAATTAAAAGTAAATGTCATTATTATTATTATTAAATCAGTTGATTCTAATTGTAAAGTTAATAAATTATGAAACTCAATAAAATAGTGTCATTATCCAGCTCAGTTCAGTTCAATCTTTTGTTCTTATCTGACGGTGTCAGTGCAGCCTAATTGATCATTTCTGAATATGACCTGTTTTTAAACCACAACTTGAGCCAAAGGTGTCAATGGCAAGGAACACAAACTCAGGTGACAGTACTGGAGAAAAAACCTTAAGAGAAACCAGGCTCAGTTGGGGGACCAGTTCTCCTCTGGCCTAAATGGGCGATTTAGTGTGATTTAGGATTCAAGACTGCATCATAAGTCATATTTTTTGGACCGATATCTCAAATTTGTCATGACAGTTGGAATTTTCCTTGTGTACAGTTTGAATAACCAGGGGTTCGTTTAGGTTTAGGTATATCCTTCTGGAGCTCAGCTAACTTGTCCTTCAGTGTGAGTATGGGATGCTTGTGGATGCTTCGGTATCCTCTTTTTAGAACCAAAGTAATATTAGCCACCAACCTCTTCATGTGCGGCATTTTTAATGAAACCACCATTGATAGAAGCTCTGTGTTTTATGCTTGGAAGGCTGCTTCACAGAGCGTGCTTTGAGAACCGTCTTTGTGCTTGTTATTTGGGTTTGGCTCATAGTGCAAGTCAATTTATAGAATTATTAAAATGGCCAGTTGCATGTCCCAATATTTTGGTCTTATTTCCAAAATACAGCATTTGGGCTTTTTAAAGTTTATTTTGGGCTTGTTTTTGTTTGCGGTTTTTCTTTTCCTTTTATCTGGTGCAGGTAGTTATTTGTATGACCAAGGCCTCGTCCTTAATAAATAAATCATTTAATAAATACCCTTCCACCTTTGTATAAAAAAAATCTAGTCCACATGAAAACATGCTAAGAAGTGCTGTCAAGAGCATGCCAAACCAACAGGTGGCAATATAACCCTAACTGTAAAGCCATGTTGGCCAATCAGAATCCTGAAAAAAAGGTTCTATTTCACTGTTTCAGACCGCCAGAGACGGTCAATACATGGTGGAAGGAGTCGCATCTCGCGCATCACATCGAGAATCTCGTTCAGTCACACGTGACTTTGACCGATGACCTGTCGGAAGCTATATCAGCTCCTGAATACGTCACGGTCGGTCTCTTTGTCATTCTCGCGGAGAGATCTCGTTGGAGCATGCACAGCTTTTGGGTTGGCGTTCGCTCCCCGCGATAGCTGTGTCTCAAAAGAGCAAAGACAGCAAGATTGCGTTGAATTATATTGGATTCGTCGTTGAATTTTTGGATTGGATTTATTGGACCCATTGTTTATCCAAGGTCCTTAAACAAGTGGTGTTCCAGCTGCTGTGGTGAGTACTGTTGGAACTTACTGGTTTACCAAGGTTCTGTGTTCACCGCATACCTGTGCATTCAGACTATTGTTGCGCTCACTGGTAAACCAGGGCGTCGGTTATTGTGTGCAGTTACTGTGGCTACCACGTAACACGTTATTATTTCAGTACTGCACATATATAAACACATTAAATCTGTCAAGATCTCAGCAGAGCCATGACCCATAGACTTGTTGACTTTGGCATAGTAAAAACCACAAATTGACTATAAAACAAGTTAACATAGATTGCTTTAATGATCACCTTCATTGGTTCAGTTTGGTATGTCAAGAGATTTAACAAGATACAGCCAGTAGTCACTGTCATCTAAAACATTAGCTGGGCATTGTTTGTAAAATGATTTTGAAATGCTGATGGGTAGTTGACAAATACATGAACACTGCGTTAAAAATTAAATATATTTATTACAAAAAGTGCATATGGCCATGTACACACTGCAGAGTTCAGGAATGACTCCCATAAATTGTCATTCCATAGGTTTACAACTCACTCCTGAAACTGATTGAACACAGTGGTAACCATAGAAAAGTTTTGGTGTCTCACAGACATATGGTATCCTCTTTTTAGAACCAAAGTAATATTAGCCACCAACCTCTTCATGTGCGGCATTTTTAATGAAACCACCATTGATAGAAGCTCTGTGTTTTATGCTTGGAAGGCTGCTTCACAGAGCGTGCTTTGAGAACCGTCTTTGTGCTTGTTATTTGGGTTTGGCTCATAGTGCAAGTCAATTTATAGAATTATTAAAATGGCCAGTTGCATGTCCCAATATTTTGGTCTTATTTCCAAAATACAGCATTTGGGCTTTTTAAAGTTTATTTTGGGCTTGTTTTTGTTTGCGGTTTTTCTTTTCCTTTTATCTGGTGCAGGTAGTTATTTGTATGACCAAGGCCTCGTCCTTAATAAATAAATCATTTAATAAATACCCTTCCACCTTTGTATAAAAAAAATCTAGTCCACATGAAAACATGCTAAGAAGTGCTGTCAAGAGCATGCCAAACCAACAGGTGGCAATATAACCCTAACTGTAAAGCCATGTTGGCCAATCAGAAGCCTGAAAAAAAGGTTCTATTTCACTGTTTCAGACCGCCAGAGACGGTCAATACATGGTGGAAGGAGTCGCATCTCGCGCATCACATCGAGAATCTCGTTCAGTCACACGTGACTTTGACCGATGACCTGTCGGAAGCTATATCAGCTCCTGACTACGTCACGGTCGGTCTCTTTGTCATTCTCGCGGAGAGATCTCGTTGGAGCATGCACAGCTTTTGGGTTGGCGTTCGCTCCCCGCGATAGCTGTGTCTCAAAAGAGCAAAGACAGCAAGATTGCGTTGAATTATATTGGATTCGTCGTTGAATTTTTGGATTGGATTTATTGGACCCATTGTTTATCCAAGGTCCTTAAACAAGCGGTGTTCCAGCTGCTGTGGTGAGTACTGTTGGAACTTATTGGTTTACCAAGGTTCTGTGTTCACCGTATACCTGTGCATACAGACTATTGTTGCGCTCACTGGTAAACCAGGGCGTCGGTTATTGTGTGCAGTTACTGTGGCTACCACGTAACACGTTATTATTTCAGTACTGTATTATAAATATTATTAACCCATTGGTTGACCAGGGTTATTTTCCTAAAGGCATAGGCACTATGGCTGCTTCCTGTTCTACATGTGCAGGTCCTATGGACCTTATGGATGCACATATTCACTGCTCTGGCTGTTTGGGCATCGACCATCTTAAGGAGGCTTTAACTGACCCTTGCCCAGAATGTAGTCTAATGCCATTGGGAATTAGGCAACAGAGACTGGCAAAGTTTGAACCGGGAAGTGAAGAGTTCTTACCACCAGTCAAGACTAGGACTCAGACAGGTAGCAAACGCTCAGCTAGCAAAACTGAGGGGCCTCCAAAGAAGAAGCGAACTCCGACTGCAGCACTATCTCACCAGGTAGTTGAATTAGCTAATGCTGTGTAGGGCATTCAGGCTTTGTTGGCTAGATCATTGCCGTTTGCTACTCAGAGCGCAGATGAGGATGTGAGAGCATCAGTAATTAGCCCCTTGTTGCCCAGGGTTGTGCCAATGTCCGAATGTCCTAAGGAGGACCTGGACACATTGTCTTGGGCGGCTTCAGATTCACTGGTTACGGATGAGCCTCCGGCGTTGGGACCTTCAAATCTCTTGCGCCGGACGATTTTCTGATACCTAGCTACCCTGATTTTACTGAGGTTCGACAGACAGACCAGATCGAGCGGCGCACACTTTGGCTGCAATGGCTGATGCCCAGGAGAAAGATCTTGGTAACATGCCCTCAGTAGAGCTGTGTATTTCTTCATTGATTGTGTCCCTGGATGAAGCCCTTAAGCAGGAGCTACGCTGCCCTAACCCGGAGTGCAGACGTACTGATGATTTGCTGGTTCGTATATATAACATATAGGATTGGTTTCAGGATTGACTCGTATTGGGAATTCTATGGCTCAATTGTTGTTGGCACTTCATTCGACCATGTCGTCAACAACACAGGATAATGCTTCATCAGAACTGCTTGAGGCTTCTCTACAGGCTTTGGGGTCGATGGCCTTCTCTAGGGGAAAAGCTCTTGGATCGTATATATAACATATAGGATTGGTTTCAGGATTGACTCGTATCGGGAATTCTATGGCTCAATTGTTGTTGGCGCTTCATTCGACCATGTCGTCAACAACACAGGATAATTCTTCATCAGAACTGCTTGAGGCTTCTCTACAGGCTTTGGGATCGATGGCCTTCTCTAGTGGAAAAGCTCTTGGACTTATCACACAAGCTAGACGGCAGGTGTGGCTGGCTCAGTCCAGGCTCCATGAGGTATGTCGCAATAACCTCCACCAATTGCCGTTAGTGCCTGGTCAGATCTTCGGTCCAGCTGCTCAGGAGACCCTTGAGCGCAGGGTAAGAGCAGCTGAGTCTCGTTCCCTTCATCAGCTTCCTACTCACAGCAGCATCATCAGTCATCCAACTGGGCCTTTTACATCTTCGCCCGTTTCAACATTGGTTAATAGCCAGACGCTTGTCACCAGTTCACAATCGACGCACCCTTGTTCGGGTCACAACCAGTTGTGCTGCCTCCCTGAGACTTTGGAGAAGGGACAGGTTTCTTCAGAAGGAAGTCCCAATTGGGCCGCCCCCAGCACACAGGGAGGTGGTAACCACGGATGCCTCCCTCAGAGGGTGGGGAGGACTGTGGCAACACCAAGGTGTACAGGGCAGTTGGTACCCACAATTAAGGGCCTCTCACATCAATTTTCTGGAACTATGGGCTGTGTTTCTGTTTTTTATTTCAGGCAAGAACTGTCAGGGAGACACATTCTGGTAAGGACGGACAGTACCACAGTGGTATTTCTAATCAACCACCAGGGGGGCACCT